ACAACACAGTGAGCTGCAAATCTGGCTTGATCAACCGGGTTGTGTTGGGTTTAGACCAAGAATGTTGATCCCCTCGCATTAGACTTTGGGTGCGACGGTAATTAGTTTTGATTAAGAACCGCGTCCAAAGGGGTAAGTTCATTGACTCCACTGACAACCAACGAGGATCTGGGAAGAAAGTATAAAGTTGTGATAAAAATGACCACTGTTTCTGTTACATGCCCAGTTGGGCGATGTACATGTAAAACCGAGGATCCGCAATGTGATAAAAAAGACTGAATGGACAATGCAATGCAAGTGGAATCTCAACAAGCAATGTGCATTCCGATACATACAAAATGGTACTTGATAATGCAGGAAAAACTTAGATTAGGGTTGTTTGGTTGCCTTCGGAACACCTGTAGAGCAATGACGAGATTTTAATTAGAATATTAGGGAGGGAGAGAGATAAATTTCGGGATTGGTTTTCCGTTGGGACTTTTCAATGTGGTTTTCTTTTATTTTCTTAAATGAAATTGCTCGATTGGTTTTGTGGTTGATTGGTGTCAACTTTCACAGTAGATTAGGGTATTGGTGCCTGCTCTTTCTGAGGATTTGCATGAGGTGTTCATAATTTTTCAATAGTTGGATATGTTTGTTACCAAAGGATGTTGCTATCCATGTTATATTACATTGTAGAATTGGTCGAAGAGATTAAGAGAAGAAGGATTTTTGCCCTTGACATAGTCGTGGCATGAGCTTTACCTAGTCAGAGAGCCTTGCTCAGCTTCGGGCTGCGACGATTTTTGTAAGGGATGCCGGACCCGTTTCCCAGCTTTGGTGTTAATAAAGATTGATCTTTTTTTATAAAATATATATATATATATATTGGAAAAAAAATTAGGGAGAAAAAAAGAAAATTTTGGCAGCACTTCGTTATTCCCAAGGGGGCAAAATGTGCGCCGATAGCTGAAATAACGAAGTTTGAACAAGATATAGAGCTATCGCAAAAAAAAATAACGTTAAAATTTAATAATAATTAAAATTAAATTAAAAATAAATAAAAAAATGATAAATTAAGTAGGAAATAAGATAATTCAAACTTCTATAGAAAAAAAAAATTAAATCAAAGAGAAGGACAAAAAAAAAAAAAAGTTGGGGGGGAGGGGGATGAAAAAGTGATGAAGAAAGATAAAAATAGGTGATAAAGAGAAAAAAAGTGAACTAAGAGATTGGGTAGAGGAGGGTGGTAGAGTGGGAGAGAAAGATATGGAGAGGAGTAAAAGAGATTAGTAGAAGATGGTGTGTGGGAAGGAGAGGAGATGAAAAAATGGTGGGAGATGAGTGAAAAGGGAGGTAGGAGGAGGAAGTAGTAGTAGAGTTGGAAAAAATGATGAGATGATCTAGGGGAGAGAGAGAGAGGGGGGTTGGGAGAGTAGGTTAGTGAAAAAAATGTGATACCAAGGTCTTGGTTGGCCAAGAGCAACAAGGTCACCAAGATCCACATGATCTTGACCTTCAAGGTGCTGACTGCCTGCTGCTGCAATGATATAAAAATAATAATAAATATAATATAGGGTTGGTTGAGATCTTGATCAGACACTGTTGCGCAGCCCTCTAGCCAGGGGATCTTCACTGCTGTCAAACTGCTGCTACAACAGTAAAAAAAATCATCATCATCATCATCATCATCATCACCATCATCTGGGTGTGCTGAGATCTTGATCAGCCACCCAAATCTCACTATAATGTAGCCCTCTAGCCAGGGGGGTCTTCAAGTTCTTTAGCAAGTTGTCACATGGCACTGCAGATGGCCACGTGCGCAGGCAGCAGCAACCAAGACGCTGCAGGGGGGCAAATAACAACCCACCCGCTGCTGTCGTGTTGGCCACTCCTCGCCCCTCGCTAATGGGGAGGAAGTAAATAGTTGGTATGCCACTCTTCAACACCAATGTGCCACACTACTATACCATATATGGAGTCTGGCCAGTGTGTTACAGCACTGGTTATGCACGCGCATGGTGGGCAACTGCCTTGGTTCAAACCCTGGCAGCAGCATGCATCCCGAATTTTGATATATATAATCCGGGAGCGGGGCGGCGCAGGCCGGGGTAGCGGGGTGGGGCGGACCGGGGTAGTGGGGCAGCATGGGCGCGTGCGGTGGACTTGGCCTTCGCTCGCACGCGTCGTGATGGTACTCTCCTTTTTCACTGCGTGTTAGTCTCTCCGCACTGCACCATTTTCCCGTTTGTTTGCTTTGAAAATTGCCGAAAACGGACCAAAATCCCGCTATCGGGATCACACGATTTTTCCCACTTGTAGGATGGGGTAGCTGGGAGCGGGGACCGTTCCCGCTCTGATACTAGTGTGATGGCCCCATCAAGATGGCGGTCCATCAGGATCAAAACGCAGGATCAAAACGAAGGGATGATGATGGGGGGAGATGGAGATGGAGATAGAGCTGGAAGGGACAACGCAACTCCAACGCGGACTCAACATGCACGTATTCCAAAGTGTGCAAATGAAGAATGAGGCTGAAACAGAATGCAACTAGGGTATACCCCCATCGGACCGACTGGACTGGATTGGACTGGCCTGATACTGACAGTGGTACCAGGGAGGACTGTAATGGACTGAATGAATATAAAACCTGTGAGAGCAAATAGCCACATAGGCTTGGCTGTAGGCCAATGTAGCCAGAGGCACGCTGCGGCGGCTAAGGCGCCTCATTTGTTCTTGTTCCACGCCTTAGTAGTAGTTTGATACCTACTCCCACCAGAGTGAGCTTCGATAGGCGCATGCCACTGCACTCAATTCAGATTAGGTATGTACCTACCACAGAGACTGTTCACCAACTCCTATTCCCCCTAAGCTCTAGGAGATGGTTGCCGTCAACTTCAATGACGGAGGGAGGTGGTCGACTCACCGCTTCACTGTGAACGAGAAGTGGTGATGGAACAGTGTCAGCGACCTACTGCCAGCGACGTCAACGCAGAGCGCTCCATAGCGCCTGTTGCTACGGCCCCACTTTCCATTTAACCTTCCCTTTTTTGTTTTTACTTTGGGCCTTGCCACACCACTGTTGAAAGGCAAAAAAAATTGACGGCTGTCAGAATAAATTCGACAGCCTCCCTTTGACAATTTGCCCCCTTTTAGCCACACAACACTGTAGAGTGGATGCACTTGTGAATACAAGATGGAAAAAGACAAACGCGCCTGAGGGTACGACAAACATTAGTCCATCCCGACCTCACGCCCACTCACCAAATTTTGAAGAGAAGTTGATGGCGTAGCCGAGGACTGTCGAAAGCATAGGAGTGGCAGGCTGTGGATTCAACAACTTTCGACAGGAGGTGTCGAGAAGCATTCTTTGACAACTTGCGAATTTTCTCCCCGTCTTCAATTTCGACAGCCTGTGGCCAAGAGAAACTATCGAAAATGGCGTTTTCGACATACATTTTTCGCCAAACGATTTTTCGCCACCCCCCGCCCCCCTTCGCCACACAACACTATGGAATGGACGCAATTGTGAATGTAAGATGGAAAAAGACGAACGCCCCTGAGGGTATGACAAGCACTAGTCCATCCCGACCTCACGCCCACTCACCAAATTTCGAAGAGAAGTCGATGGCGCAACCGACGGCTGTCGAAAGCTTCAGAGTAGCAGGCTGTGGATTCAACAACTTTCAACAGGAGGTGTGGAGAAGCATTCTCTGACAACTTGCGAATTTTCTTCCGGTCTCCAATTTAGACAGCCTGTGTGGCGCAGAGAAATTATCGAAAATAGTGGTTTAGACAGTGGTGTGGGGAGGCCCTTTGTTAGGATGATAGTCTTTTCTGGGTTGTTCCGCTTTCAGGGCCCTGAGGGAATCCTTTCCACCAGGGTGGGGGATCAGTCAGAGCAGGGGTCTCTCACTGGCCACTTTTGTCTCTGGACGTATTCCCAACGCCTGCACCTAAGCTGGGTAATGGTCCCAGAAGTTCCAGTTTGTTTGTCCGGGTTGGTTGTTGAGGATTCCCGGTCTCTCCCTTATTTTGCGATGGACGATCGTTAGTACACAGGACACAACTCATTCAACGTTTGAGCGTGCCCGGTCGGGCTCTGGACCGGCCTGTCCGCGAAAAGAGTAAATGCACAGGAGTACAGAAAGTTCAATAGCGGGAACGTGGACGAGGTCATCTTCGTGCAGGTGGAGCGTATCAGTGTGCTGGGTTCGAGACGAGGTCTCCGGGTCTGCGGAATCCTCTGAGCGGTTCTCTGAATGTACGTATCATGGTGTTATTTTGAACAGATTCAGTCGAAATTTACCTACTCAGAGTATCCGCTCAATCACCTCACCTCACGCTGCTCTCCCAGACCCGACTGGCTTCGATACCGAGCGATTCTCTGAATCGACTTTGTCCGCGGGTCGAACCAAGCCAGCACTGAGGAGGGACAGGCCAAGAAGCAGAGGAGAACAGTGGTGAGAGCGGAAGGGGTCGCTTCGTCGGGGTGAAGAGGCTAGCGAAAGGGATCCTCAACGCGGTTTGGAGATAGCGCTTGTCGTCCGTACAGGCGCGCAGGCGCGCAAGTAATCATTCCCGTTGCAAGGGGGGCAGGATACCGATCGACGGCCTGGAGCGGCGATCAGGGATCCCTTAGGGGCTCGGAAGCAAGGGACGACGGGGGGGGGTGGGCTGAAGATCGTTGGTGTGAGAAGGGGCAGGAGCACGAGGTGAGAGAAGTGGTGGAGAGAATAGGGTGGGGAGAGCAAAGGTAGCTATCGACGAGGGAAGGGACGATGGCGTGACAGGATTTGTACCCGAAGATCGGCCACGAGGCGAATGAGGGTGCACCCGGAATTTGCCCGACACGTGTGCGAATCATCTCAAGGGTCGTCTGAAGACAACTGTGCTAGCGCGCGCGGGTTTTGAACCGAGCGTCGCGGGTTTTGGTGCATGGCTCTGTTGGTCGGCAATATCGAGGGCCGTGGGTCGCGAAAGGACCGGTGGGGGTGCCACGCGACGAATTGCGGGGGCGGTCGTGAACTCAGTCCGGTGACGTACCGCTCACCAGAAATTAGACTGAAGAGATTTGGAGGGCAAGAGAGCCGATGGAGAGGGAGAGGAAGAGGGAGACGTTGATCGGGTCTTCACCGACTCTGCTGTCTGCAGCAGGCAGTAATTCGCCTTCTCCTCCCAGGAGATAAGAATGGTCCGTCACGAGGAAGCGTATCAGAGCGCGCTTGTGTAAATTGTGTTCCACAGGTAATGGTTAAGATCGGTAATGGAGAGATGGCCATGGCGTTGAGTTGTCGGTAATACGCTGATACCCGTAGGAGCTGGAGGATTGGGGAGGTGGGGGAGAGAACGATCAGAGAGAGAAAAAAGAGGGAGTGGAATTTGTCCGACTACCGACTGACGGCGCGCGGAGAGGAACGAGCAGAGGGGTGGGCACTGTAGGTGCTGGAGCTGCACTATCTAGTTGAGGCCCTGTGTGAACTGGCGACTGCATCTGGACCTTGAGAAGGCGGAGAGATACACGCCCGCAGCCCTTTTCGCGGATGCAGCGTGGGGGAGCGGGGCCCTCAAGCTGGTGGATCACGCACGCCAGGTGTCTCTCGTCCTCGTCCATCCTTTCCTAGATAAGTAATGGCGGATCGTGCGCGCCAGGTGTTTCTCGTCCTCGTCCATCCTTTCCTAAATAGGTAATGGCGGATCGCGCGCGCGCCAGGCGACGTGCGAACTCCTGTACGATTAATCACTGTCGCCAGCAGGACCGCATTAAGTGATGACGTCATCAGTTGTCATCTGGAACTCGTTGTAGGTGGAATGATGTTAGCGGCGGCTGCAGCTTGGATGCCTCGCTGCACGCTGTTGCGCGTTCACGACGGCGCCAGTCACTGGCATGCGCCACGTCGACCTTGAAGGTCCTCTTTGATCTCTTGAGGAAGAGGAAGGGGGCGAGGGGTTATGAAATGAGCTTGCGTTGAAAAAAAGAAGAAAAGAACATGAACGTGAGTGAAGAATGAAGACGAGGATGGCGATTATGCGGGCGACGTCCGTGGGAAAAGAACAGAAGTGGACAGATCATTCTGCCGATCTCTTCGTGTCAGCGCGGGCTACATTTATCATCATCCTTTGTCTGTTGTCTCCCTCTCAAGTCGAGAGTCATTACTCTCTAATCTGGGGAGCACGGGATGCGAGGAAGGAGCGCATGGAGATTGTCCACGTGCGGCACGTCTCAGCGTCGGTCCGTGGACATCGCGGCCACGTTCATCCTCCAGCCCAGGAAACTCTTGTCGATGCCTTCGCTATCGATCTTAGCCATGCAACGACGAGAATGAAGGGGCAATCCCAGTCTATGAGGGCAGTTGGAGCGGGTACCGATCTGCGTAATTCGCGGAATGAGGAGGGTGGGGAAGGGGAGGATACCGGAACGAGGGTCGGCATTCCCGAGGCGATCTGCAGGCTTGGGCGGGTGGAGGCTCGGCAACTGCGCTGGAGGGAGCTGGTTTGGGGTGGCCTGAGTGTTAATGTGAAGGGGGCTGTTCTTTTCCCGCATCCCTTGGGGGCAAGCATCTTGTCGGAGGATAGTATTAGTGCCGTACCCTCCAGTGCAAAGGGGGAGAGCCGAAAGGAGGAGGAGGAGGAGGAGGCATGTCCAGCAGTTGAAGGCGGCGCTGAGGGAGTAAGTGGAAAATGGGAGAAAGTGGTGGAGTGTGAGAGATCGAGTCGGGCTGCAGCTGTTGACAACGCCGATAATAGAGTGATCGTGAAGATCGGAACCGTTGATGCCGCGGAATGCATGGCCCATAGCCCTCGCCGTCAGCACTCGAAGGGTGTGAATATGACGATTCTGTGTGAGGTGGATCTGCACATGCGTTCAGCTAGGGGAGATGGAGAGGGAGGAGGTGGTGGTCGTTTTGCTGTGGAGGATCATGCGGAAGAATCCCTGACTTATTCGCGAGAGGCTGTAGGTTGCGAGTTCAATGTACAATGGGATGAGTACGGGTATTGCGTCTGTGCGACGATGATAGAAGCGACAGATCTTGCTGCCTCTGGAAAGGGAGAGCAAGGAGGAGGAGGAGGAGCAGTACGTGGAGGAGGCCCATCGGCTAGCATGGCGGCCGTGCAGCTTCCTTTGATCGGAGATCGGTTGCCTTCGATGATGGAGGAAGAAGATGATGACGAAGAAGGATGGGGGGGATCAACGACAAGAGGGAGAAGAGGAGAAGACGATGCCTCGGCGAATAGCAACCCAGGAGGGTCGGTGCTTGAAAGGGCGGCGGCCATGGGGAATCGACGATCGAGGAAAGATGATGGAGGCGGGGCAAGGGGTGCTGTCGGCAAGGTCAGGCTCTCTGTGGACGTCAGCGTTGGGGTGTCGTCCGTCGGTATTCTCTGCTGGTGTGCGGGGCTGTTGCTGCTTGCTTGCGCGGAACCTCTCTCCCGAGTGCATGCCATGCACATCGTTTTCGGCGGTCTCTCCGCTGCCGGTATTGCGCATATGCTGTCTATGGTGGCCATAGCCGCTGTACCTGGTGTCGTCGTGGCTTTGCCTTGGGTTGCTGCTTTGTCAGTTTACCGGCTTGGGCTATTTGAAGCCCTGGCGATGCTTGTGGCCTGCTACGTGTATATGTTCGCGATGGCGCTAGTGCTTCTTTACCTTTACACGACACATTTTAACTACATCCAAGCGCTGTACTTGTTTGTGGTGATTAATGCCGCCGTGGATGGAGCGCTGCGCGCGGAAGCGTCGTCGTCGGCGGTGGATACAGCAGGGAACGGCGGAAGCAGCGGGGGAGGGGGGAGCATCTCCGCCGCCACAGATGCGATTGGCCGGGCTGTGGATCAGATTGCGCAAGAGGATGGGGGATCGACAGCAGGTGGGATTTTCGCGGGTTTCTTCGGCGAAGGAAATTGGCTATTCGGTCACCTCTTTAGCTTCGGCGGCGGCGGCGGCGGCGGCGGTGGTGGTGACGGTGGGCGTGGGGGAGGAGACCCTGGCGGCGGATTCGCATCTGGGGGGGAATGGGCGGAAACGCTGATCAGCAGCCTGCCGTACTTCGGTGCAGGAGCGGGCGGAACGGCGACGACGGGCACGATGAGTGTCTTGAAACGGTCGGTTTTCTTGACATTTTTAGTCGGAGGCGTCACTCTCCTTCTCACGACTACCAATGTGAATTTATATGCTATAGTCGCTCGAAGCCACGTGTCGCATCTCCCCGTCTGGATGGCTCTCTTCTTGGCCTCCTCCCCTGCTTTGCTTCTCGCCGGATTGGAGATACATTGTCGTTTGCTGTCTTGCACGCTGATCGCGTTTACCGGCTTGCCTGGTTTGATCCTACAGCTTGGATCGGACGGCCTTGATTGGTTGAGAGGGCGACTGGGCTTCATCATTCCGGGCCATATGCGCCACGGGGCCAGTCGTTACAATATGCGCTCGTTGCGGCGTGTCTTCTACTCTCACGTCTTGGAGGAGGAAGAGAGTGGGGAGACGGGTCGACGGACGCGGCGATGGGGGCACGATGGAGAACGATGCCAGTCACAGTCACGGGGAGGTTTTCGAAATTGTGCTTTGGCATGGCGTCTGCTGGGCGTCGGTGGGAGCAGCTCGAAACGGAAGAGAATGCCCTCTTGTTTCGTCTTTTTGAGGAAGTTTCAGCGATGGTGCCTTTATTTGGTCGCGGGTGTGGACCCCCCCGTTGAGGGGGAGCCGTTGAGGACCCGCATTGGCAGGAGTCTGGAGAGCTGGTGGAAGGTGCACGTCAACAGTAATTCTAGACATGCATCGGCGAGGCGGCGACGACACGTGTCGCATCCTCGTGAAGCGACGACGGGCGGCGGGTCGTCTTTCTCATCTGCGATGCATCAGCATGACGACGACGACGACGAAGACAGCTTCTCCTCTGATCCGACGTGGAATCTGTCTATGGTGGAGGAAGAGGAGGGAGAAGAGCAAAGCGGTGGTACCGGCCGAGGGTGCAATCGAGGCTATGGTGCAGCAGGCGCAGGATCCTCAATGAGCCGAGGATCGGGGAGGGGAGAGGAAGAAGAAGAGGAGGGCGTGGGGCCGTCGACTTGCAGGATGTTGCAGGGAGGGAGAGGGAGACGAGAGTTGACGATCGGAGGCGGGGGGAGATCACAGAGTGTGGGGACCACCACAAGGATATACTCCGGCAGAGGAGCAAGGGGCGGCATGGGTGATGTGTACGATACCGCCTGTAGCTCGAGGTTGATTGATGGATCAGGTGGGAGTTGTGAGAAAAGCGACGAAGGGTTTAATAATGATGATCATGATGATAACGCTGAGCAAGATGATGAGGACGATCGCAGATACTATGAATATGTGACCGACGAAGATGATGGCTCAGATCAGGCAGGAGAGAGAGCGCAAGAGTGGGACTGGATGGTGGCAGAGGGGTTGACTCCCGGTGAAGCTATCGCGCTTCAAAGCTGCCCCGTCTGCCTATGGGCGAGGAAGAATATGGCCTTCGGATGCGGGCACCAAACCTGCAGACAGTGCAGCCTGAGTCTTTCGAAGTGCCCCATCTGTAGGAAGCGAATTTCTGTTAGGATACCGCTTTTTTAACGGAATGACGTAGGAATCGATCAGTTAATTAATCATTATACCTGCTTTTAACCGGGTGACGGATGAACTGATCAGTTGATGGTCACATCATACCGCTGCTTGATGCGTAAAAAAAAAAAATCGTCGCTGGTATTGTTTCTTTACCCCCCCCCCCCCCCCCGCCTCCCTCTTCCCCCCCCAACCCCCTTGCCTCCCTTCGCCCTCTTCTTATCAAGGAACTTGTACAATTGCACTGGCAGAAGAAGGTGCAGGCCCTGTAGGGAGTCCCTTTGTTTTTTTTTTTTTTTTTTTTTTGAGGTGCCGGGATTCTCTACACCGGGAGCCGGTGTTCATTCGTTTCGTACACTTGTGGCGGTTGCCCTGCCGTCATAACCGTTGGGGATTGGACAGGGGAGATTGATTCACTTGGACAGTTTTTTCCATTTATAAAAAAAATAATAAAAAAATTGTGGACCTATGTTTGGTTTCGTGCTGCGGACCTGCGTTGGAATTTTAAAATTTTAGATTTATTTTTATTTTTTTATATATAGGATTTGTCTGTTGGTTTTGGGTTTCAAGGAAATCTTTAGAGGGACTTGTACATAAGAGAGCGGGCAAGCTCAGCATGAGGTTGATTGCTTTCCCCCCCCCCCCCCAAAATCCAACTCCGATCTATTCGTGGGGAGCCTACCGTCTTCACCCAAATTGAACGCCCAGTCATTATAGCTCCTCTATTCAGGTTAACTTTCCGTCCAGGTGCAGCTATAATAACCGGGCATTCTATTCGGGTGAAGACGGTGCCACATGCTGGGAACCGGGTCCAGCGTCCATGAATCCGTCTTAATTCTTTTTCCTTAGCTATAGTACTTCTGTGAACAATCCTGTGAATATACTCAATGGGACACGCCGGACCCGGTTTCCAGGGCCGTGGTCCCAGTAGCGAAGGGGATAGGGTAGAAATCCTGAATCTGGCTATGTTTTATGTAGAGATACAGAAAAGGAGTTCTATCTCGATTTCCTGCTCCTGTCGTGAAACACGTCCAGATTCAGGCATTCAATCGGATGCTCTTTGCTAATGGGACCACGGACCAGCAGATGCAGCTCCCCACCAAAAGATGGAGCAACCAGGGACAGCCAGGTACTACAGTCTTCCCCCGAATACAACGTACGGTCATTATAGCTGACTTTGGGCTATATTTCAGTCTAAATTCAGCTATAATGACCGTACGTTGTATTCGGGGGAAGACTGTAGAGGTGGCTGCTCTTATCACCCCCTCCAGTAGAGGTAGCTGGTTAAAAAAAAAAAAGGAAAAAGAAAAAAAAAGTTACTTTGTAGTATTTGTACATGTATTCGGCCATGGGCACTCTGCCAATAATCAACTTTGAATCTCTAAATAAGTACGCAGTAGTGTTGCGAGCAGCCAAAAATAAAAATAAGTACTTTGTAGTATGTACATGTGTCCGGTCTTGGACTTCACGATTCGTCAGTAGAAAGGAGAACCGGTTCTTCAGACGAATCGTGACGTCCGAGACTACCACGGAACGCAGCAAGGCGCTGCTAGCAGCACTACTGCGTAGGGATAGACCTGACTCGCAACTCAAGCCTCTCACTANACACACACACACACAAACACGGAGAGAGAGAGAGAGAGAGAGAGGAGTGTTGTACTCTATTGTACATGTGTACATCTAGGTGTAGGAGAGAGCAGAAGAGAGAGGCTGTACTGGTGTCTAGGGATAGTGGTGAGGGAGGATGATAGGGTGAAAGGGAGGTGATTAATATCTGGATGAATGTAGTTATTTGGAATCAGGCGTGGTGGACGCCACTGAGATTTTTGCTTTGTGGGAGAAGAGGCGAGCCTGTTGTGATGGCGGTAGTGGTCGGGAGGTCGTGAAGGCAAGGAGCTCTTGGCCGTCGGTGTGCAATCAGCATGTGTGGTCAATGAAGAGCAAAAAAGAAGTCTATTCTTCACACGCCGTTGTCGTCAACAACGGGCATTATGATTGCGATGGCGGACCAGCAAGATAATAATGCTGAGGTGTTGATTGGAATTGGGCATGTATTCCCAATTATGACACGAGTTGTCCAGGAGGAGGGGGGCAGTTCTTTGGAACGGTTTCGGGGATCCAAGGCATTTTTAAGGAGACGGGGGGGGGGGGACGCGGGGAAACGCAGGTTTTCTTTATCCTGGTTTCCAGGACGGGGACAGTTCTTTGAGGAGACGGGGGGGGTGGGGAAATGCAGGTTTTCTTTATCCTGGTTTGCGCTGCTGCGTTCGAACGCCAATAGTGTGGAGATAGGCGGGCTTTTGTTACTATGTTCTCCAGCCGTATCGGCTGTGCTGGTGTCTTACAGGTCCGGTGCCATCACTTTATATCAGTCTTTCGCCGGCGGGTCTTACGCCTATTCGAGCCTGTGCCTCTGGTGTCCACTTTGCGGTACTGTGCGCTGAGTCTGGTTTATCTGGAGGGGACCTGGGGGGTGGAGGAGAAGAAGGGCTGTCCAGCACCTGTGACAGTAGATGCTCGCCTTCTCTCTCTCTCTCTCTCTCTCTCTCTCTCTCTCTCTCTCTCTCTCTCTCTCTCTCTCTCTCTCTCTCTCTCTCTCTCTCTCGCTCTTTTCGTCTACTTCACTTTTGCAGGGTGGATAAGGGAATTGGACAGGATATCATTCTGGGTTTGCCATGGTCGTCCATGGTTGGGTAATCGTACGTTGCATATGGGCTCTGTTCAGTGAGCGCCGTGAGGTTGTGAAGGTGCTGATGAATAACCAGATGGTTGTTGTCAACGCTAATTCTTCGTGCTATCATCATCATCGCTGCATCAGCCTGATTGGTCTCAGCACGGGTATCAGGAAGAATAGCCTTAAGCACGGGTATCAGGAAGAATAGCCTCGACTCCTTTTCCTCCTACAAGGTCCTTGTTGGTGCAGCTAGAGGATAGAGGAGAGCAGGAGGTGTGCTGATGGATAACCACATGGCTGTTGTCAACGGTAATTCTTCGTGCTATCATCATCGCTGCACCAGCCTCATTGGTCTCAGCACGGGTATCAGGAAGATAGCCTTGCCTCCTCTTCTCTTCTCTCTTCCTACACGGTTCTTGCTTGTGGAGCTAGAGTACGATTACACGGTATCAGGAGGATAGAGTAGAGCACGAAAGAGCGCCCCAAGTACGATTACAGTTCATACTATATAGTAGTGCTCGCATTCTCTCTTTTCTCAATTCTCTTATCTGTTTTTCCGCCCCTCCTGATGAGGCTTATGTTGTTGTAGGCGTCGGATACTTGTGTGCCACGTCGGCTTGACATGTTGGGGGGGGGGAGTCTTTACCGTTCGACAGTTAGGTGGAGTGGATAGCGGTGTCGATGAGGGGGGGAGAGTTAAGAGGTGATGGAAAAACGGGCGGTTTGTAAATGCGCTCAACAGGGAGATTGTAATTTTGAGCGAACAGTGTGTGCGGGAGTGTGTGGCAGACTTAAAGAGATTCATTTTGTCGACTTCGACGCGTGTTGAGTGTACAGAGAGCTTTGTTTTCCTTTGATTGACTGCACCGCATTTTTGACAAGTAATCAAAGCTTTTGGCGAATCCGTTTTTCGCAGCGCGTTCTCGCGAATGCATAGGGAATTAAGTGGGCGTTCGTATTCGGCTGGCTGCTCTGCCTTCGCGGGAAGCGTGCTGTCATATGATTCCACACAACGGTCCTTCCTCTTCTTGGAAAAACTAAATCCTCGCTCGCTGTAATATCGCTTGTTCTTTTTGATAACTAGACAGGAGAGGGAAATAGTCTTGTTTCTTGCTGTCGGTAGTGCTTCCGCCCTGAGTCTACGAATGGGCATGGCTTAGGTCTGTGTGCACACGAGAGGCAGAGGCAGAGGGAAAGGAGAGAGAGAGAGAGAGAGAGAGAGAGAGAGAGAGAGTTGTGCGTGTCCAAATTACATAAAAGAAACAGGAGATGATGTGGGTGGATTGGATTGGGTAAGGAGGAGATTAGATGGATTCAGTGTGTGTGTGTGGGGAGAGAGAGAGAGAGTTGTGTGTGTTCGAATGACATGAAAGAAACAGGTTTTGGAACGGAAAATGCAAGAATCTATCCCTTATCCAGTCAGGTTTTGTCTTTTTGTTCTGTTTTCCTCCCGGTTCTCCTTCACGTCATACCACACGCTGGTCAAACATGGGGGTACTGTATATGGGGAAGAGAACACCAGCCTGCCATGATGTTTCTGGTGCTCGCCGTCTGTTTTCATGTCGGTCACAATTCCGTTCGAAATACATGGCATAGGAAGTGAGGGAACAACATTCTGCCATGAATTTTCTGGTCCTCACCCTCTACTCACAATTCCACGAGTAATACATAGCATAGGTGTAATACGGGAACTGCAATTCATGCCTCATGTAGTGTGTCTGTCTCTTTATCGAATTTGCTTACTAGGAGTCTAGGATTTGTAGTCGGACTGAAATGAAGGCAAAGTTTCGTTTTTCCTTGGATCAGTCCTCGCATAACAAGAATTTGCCTCTAGGCCAGTCGAGGGGTCATGGTGCCAGGGTCTTGTGCCTGCCATATGTGTGTTAGGGCCTTCCGGGTATTGGACTTCCAATACTTCGTTGCCTATTGTGCGATACCTAGCGGGCACAATAGGGCCGCTAAGCTAATTGTTGGCCTATGCGAAGGAGAACCTGTGTAAGGAAGGTGCATAGTTTGTGGGGAGCTGGACGTCATTGCCTGCCATCAGACGGTTGATAGTGGCTGTAGAGATGTTTTGCGGGGCATTATGTATGTGCGTGACTGCTAGACTGTGCAGCATTTACCGAAAGCGTAGGGGACTGGACAGAGCATGCACACAGTTGGTGGCATTGGCGGTATGTGCATATACCAACCTACACGTTCCTCGCCCGTCCGTCACTGCCTGGACAGAGCATGCACGCAGTTGTTGGCATTGGCGGTAGGTGTTTATAGCCACCTACGTTCCTCGCCCGTCCTTCACTGCTGTGGCTGATAATCTCACGGTTTTCAGGGCTGGTCCTTGTCTTTGTTGGTGCCTCCTTGGTTGAGCCCACTTTGCTGATGCTGGCACTTGCTGCTGAGAGCTTTATTGTTTATGGTGCCTGTTTCAGTTCATCTATATATTTTCGGCGTAGTCTGTCCGGTAGCATTTGCGATTGCGATTCAGGTCCCCACTTCTTTTATCTAATCTAACGAACCTGTTCAGAAGGGTTACATCTGCTGCTTGATTAATCACGGCATGCGATATCTTGATCAGGATCCCTACTCAGCACGATGACAGTTAAGACGAGTTGCAGATATTCTCTCTCTTGATCAGGATCCCTACTCAGTACGATGACAGTTAAGACGAGTTGCAGATATTCTCTCTCTGTGGCAGGTTGGCCTCCGACGTGGGATGGTGTTTCGGTCTGGAGATACTTTTGGGCTGCTGCTAATGACAAAGAGGCATGGGAAGGCAGCAATGATAGAGGAGCATGCAGTAAAAAAAGTGGACGGTCTCTAATTTGTCTGTTTTTTTTAGCTGCTGCGGAAGACAGAACAGGTGTGGGTAGGGGCCAATGATAGACGGCATATGCAGGAAAACAAGCGTAAGGTCTCTGATTGGTGTGGTTTCGTCAGGGCCTCGGAGGGGGGAGGGGGAGGGGGGGAGGGGGGGCGGGGGGGGGAACAATGGTTTGTGTTCTTGGGAACAGGGGGACCGGGTGTTCGCTCTTGGTGGTGTCTGCCAGATTTAGGGTCATGACTATTTTCAATCCCCTGTGGTGCTCGGACTGTTGAAATGTTAAGGCTGTTGAGGTGCCACAAGCTACTTCACGACGCAGTTCTGATGATGGACAGGAGTTTTATTTGCTTCTTGATATTCTTGTTGGATTATAATCTGAAAGGGTGTATGGACTAATCTGTTCTAGCAGGCCTACATTCATTTGGAGTGTGCCATGGCTATAAGCTTAAAAGGTAAACCAATCACTAGCGGGACGCATCAAGATATGTTGGCTGTGGTGAACTGGGTACTGCAGCCTTGCTTTGTGTTCCCTCAGTGGGATGGGAATAGACAAGTGCGCTGATTTCAGAAGGGTACTCCGGAAATTGTAAGTAGTTTTGGCTTGAAAATGATGCAGGAACGGGCCTGTTGCCTACCGTTTGTCAAAATGTGTTTCACAATTAATGGATTGGATACAGAGATGTAGTTACGGTCTTTTCATCTTTTCCCC